TCATCACTGTGCTAAATTAAAAACGATTCTCGTTTGGGAATTTCTTGCAGAATCCTTTTTGGAGAAACCCTCAGAACCAAGCTTGGTTAAAAGCGTACAGCAGTGAACCCCTCCAAATCACTGGACCCTCGTATCGAGACTATTGCCCACATGTAAAGTGATGTCCTCTTCTGCAAACACTATAATAGGGAATATTGGCTATTGCAAAAAGAATTGCAAATAGGTTTCAATTTTACCGATTGCCAGGGCAATGGAAACTATGGTCTGCGGACACCACGAGATGCCCTTGGCACCCTAAACTGTTCTCCATTGACATGCGAAGGCTGTGTTAAATCAATTTTGAAAGCCTTAAATAGTGTTTCACCTGTGTGGCTTTAATACTAGGTTTCACCCAATAGCTAGGAAGAGTGGATTATCAAAAGCATCGTGAACACTAGCATTCGTGTGTGAAATTCAAAATTCGAAACAAAGTTGGAAGGGAGAAAGTCAAATAGGATGGAAACCAAGACCGTAAAAAGGGGTCAATTATACTACAAAAAGTGTGGTGATTTAAGTGACATATTAGAGATTAAATGTCAGAAAAAACAAGGTCATTCGGGTGAATAAACTCAAAGTCAGCGGAATTTAGGTACCATAATTGAAAAAGAAAGAAAATTTTTCGGAAACTTTTGAAAGCACATCTGTTCTCAGCTGTAGACTGTAGAGAGGACTTAAAATATTTGTGATAGTACATGTGGAAATAGCCGAACATAAACTTGACACAATAGCAACGATTACTTGAAATAGCACACTAAACAGATAAAAGGGTGTGGTGTGACCACTTGCGTTTGAGTCTGATGCTAGTATTGAAAATGTACCATTGATGTTGAATGTTAATTCAAATAGCGTACGTTTCAAAATACGCCACGGCTTTTTTAGCAACCTTGTTGTAAACGTAGCTAAAACTTATATTCATTTACTATTTTTAATTCATTAACCACAAACCTTCCTTATTGCGTCTTCCTTAAAGAAACTCTAAGCAAAGTAAGCGCATGTGATCTCAGGTCATCGGTCACCTATCTCTGGTTATCAGTACCATTTTACGCAATTGCAGACTTGGGCATTTGAATAAACGCACTCTTTCCAAAGGCTCATTGCATACACAGTACGGAATTGGAGGAAACACCATTGATGTAGAAACAAAATAGCTTTATTGAGGAATCGGATCAAGGCTTCTTCTTACGCCTTATGTATTTATGGAAATCACAAACGTGTGCCTGTATCCTGCCATCATTTTGTGACAGATCAAATATTTATTGCTTACAATTCCAGTCGTTGCACAAGCATGATGAGGTGTGCTCAAACGACTTATTAATTTCTCCTAATGATCACATAGGAATTGCAGTGGCAGTGAAGACAAATTGTTATTTGACTCCAACTCATATACTAATCTCTGGATTTTAATTCAGTGGTATTCCATCTGATGACTGCCGAACACTACATTCATATAAAAACCAACTCAGAGTAGCGCAGATATACTGCATCTTGTGGTAGGATAACACATCGTGTCTGTCATTGACTGTCGCTGCGTGAAGGCCTCGTGTGGTGGCATAGAGGAACAGGACATAAAGGAATACCTTACTGCGACCGGATATCCAATTAGAGACTAATCATCATTTATCACTGCTTTGTTTGCTTGAATCAATGCCAGGGCAATCGCCGTCTAAAAAATCAAAGCAAAGCACGGTTATAAAATTACCAGTGTACTGCGACAATCCGCAAGTGTGGTTTTTAAAGGTTGAAGCCCTGTTCCGGATTCACAATATAGGATCGCAACATGAAAAGTTTGACTATATTGTGTCCCAGCTACCTTGTAAGGTAGCAAACATGGTAGCTGACTTGCTTTACCCGATACCTTCCGAGAACCCGTATGAAAAACTGAAAAATGGAGTTATTACAAGGATGAACAAGTTTTACGAAAGTTGCTTGATAAACCAACTTTCCTCTTTTAAATTAGGCACCAAGTCGCCCTCCCAACTTCTCCGAGAGATGGTTTTGTTTGCTAGTCACCACAAGATTGATGACTCAGTCCTGACCCGGATGTGGACCAAATGTCTACCCGCAGAGATCCAGGAAGTTCTCTCACTTCAAAGACCAGATACACCACTTGAGAATCTGGCGGAATTCGCTGACATGTTGCACAAATTTATGGATAAAGGAGGTGAAACCCAGAACCGCTTCAAACGATCCTAAGGAAATTAAAAGAAATGAATGGAGATCTTTCACATGGAAATAGAAAATGAAGCATGCTCTGTACGTGTTGTTTTAAAATGTCCCATAACCACAGGTTTACATTAAATAAACCAATTATTCACAATCTAACTTAGGCTCTTAGCAAGGGGACCGGGACCTGGGGAAAAATCGATGCATTCTTTTAGGTTGAAATCTTTCTGTTTTACGAGTTATACCGAGACTCAATACAGATCTCGTTAAGTCTTTCATTCATGCATTTACTGTATTCCTAGGATTGTTGTGTTGTTGTTGTTTTGCGAAAGGGCTAAAAACACACTTGAGTGTCATATTCAAATTTACTCATTTCAAAATCTAAGTATATCAGAATTCAGTGGTTTATTTTAATCATATTCTGCCACCAACTTCAAAACATTTAAAATTAAACTATCACATGACCCTGTCAACCGCAAACCCACACCTGCCTTCACAGTTTACTACTGTCCAAACTCCTTTGTCATGATCTCGAAGGATACAGATTTTTGGTAAGGATTGTGTTTTGTTCTCTTGAGTAGGTCTTGTCTGGGTTAAAAATACAGGGTCGGCGACTTGTTAGTTGTTGTTGTAATTACTTTGTGCTGAGTTTAGGCAATCGACCGTCTTATTCAACGAAGATTTTAGATTTAGGAATACCAGCATGCTAAACAATGAATCTCTAAACCATGAAGGCTCCACGAGTTACAATAATTTGGCAATTCAGAGGTTAAAAAAATAAAATTCAAGAGCTTATGCTATGAGGTTATTCGAACTAATGATACCTTTAAGAAAACTATTTAATCAGAACAAAAAAATAACTTTTACAAGTTGGTTGGCTCGTTCCCACCTTTAGATCTGGGCAATTCTCGTTGGCATCTAAATTATACATTTGAAAAAGTGGAGATAAGGCGAAGGAAATATGATTTCGTTGGTTCAGAATCAAATGTTCTCTCAGATAGGTGACTTCTTGGCTGTAAAGGGAATGCCGATTGTAAGTAAGAATCGATGTATTTGAAAAATAAAGGACAAAGATGTCTTAAGCTGCATTCCAAGTTACACTAATATCTTTGCAAAATACCATTATGAATATGATGGCTGGAATAAACTTTATCTAAGGTTGTGCGGACATAACAATTTCACTGGAACGAATTTTTATCAACTTGGCTACTTGTAGATTTTCGAAGTGCTTAAATATCAAAAGTCACGAATGCCATGATTGTTGTCGTAGTTACCTTCCCATTGATAATTATAAGTGGCTGCTTTAAATTGCAAGCTAACTTAATATCACTCCAACTGAAGGCCTCAGTGAAATAATCAATTCAAATATTTCAACATCGCTGAAGCTAGCAACGCACCTCATTCTAGTTTCACTTCTTATCTCCATTAAAATACAGAAATCGAAAGCCGAGGTCATCAATCTTCATTTTACGATTGATTTTTGTGGTATATGTGTGTAGTAAGAGGGGCTTTTGATGTTCAACGACCCACTTAAATCGGTGAAAGGTCATCATATAATATTGTCTGCAGTAAAGGTATTGCTGGATGATCATGAAGAATGGTACTTTTGCAGATGTCGCAAACGTTATACTAAAACGTTAGTTATACTAAAACCCTTAAACCATGTATGCAGATGCGATCTCAGGACTACTTCTGTTTAGAATTCCCATTCTACTAATCCGCGAACGTTGAGAGTGTGAGGCTGCAAATGAGAATGAGAGTTTTGAGTTGGCCATCTTTCACTGATTTGGAGTGACTTTTTGCACTTTCGATGGTTTAGGAAATTTTCACACTCTTCTAATGAGAACTTAAGACACCTGTCCCACTTATTCAACAAGATGAAACCTTCTCCAAACATCCGCTGGAGATTTCTCACAGTACTTCCTCCGTTCCACTGGACTCAGTGTACAGATAATAACTCGGACCTTTCACACGCCATTCTGAGACCAAAGATCAAACAGAAACAGGTTTTGTAACGTTAATACTATGACTCGATCGTTACGTCATTCTCCGGATCATAAGAGACTTCCAATATGCTGCTATTGAGGCCGTCAATTGATGGCGAACTGGTGGGAGCGGCCTGAGCCCCTGATGATATTCCAGCAGCGACACAAGCCACTCCAGCCCCTTATAATCTATCTAAACTTATTCGCCAAATTTGTTGCGTTGTCCCCAGTTCACAGATGCAAAACCTCAAACGCAATTAATTGTTTATCTCTTTAGTACTCTATCAGCTTTCCCACACTAGAAATTAAACTAAGCTCAAATGAGTCAGTGCTTTTCGATGCTTATTAGATAACAAGACCTCGTGCAGAAAACTTTTGATGCATCATCCCAAGACCAAGTTATCTAATGAAAATTTTGTCACTTATTTGGATCAAGATTAGAAAAAAGGCGGATTATCATAGATGGACATCGCAAGTTATCAGATTAATGAAGTTGTGGGGGTAGTTGCGTAAATAATTACAAAACTGGATCCCCAACCAATAACTACAAATTCCTATGATAATTATTTCATCGATTTTGTAGAAAATCAACTAATTTTTTCTTCAAATCAGCGTACACACATGAAGAGATTCGTTCACTATACTCAGATGACTGTTGATTAGCGTTTAATAGGACGACAGCAGGACTCACAATACTTTCAGATATAAATAGACGCCAAGGCTTACATAAACAGAAGTGAATAAATCAACTTTCACAGATTGTTGACTGTGTGCTATCCTTCACAAAACCCCTCAGTTTACATCGATTTAGTAATGGTTGAGTCACTTAACCCAAGTCATTTGAAGGACGAAATCGCCTCAAAAATTCCTCTTTTCCACGGCGATCCACAGGAATGGTTTGCGAAAGTTGAGGCTATATTTTGTGAACACGGCATAACGTCACAAGACATCATGTACGATCTTGTTGTTGCACAACTACCTAGTAATGTCATGGCTGAAGCCATTGACCTAAACGATTCGGACCATTCAAAGAATTATCAAAAGGTGAAAACCTCAATTATTACCCGAACGGCTAACCGCCAGAAATCGTGTTTGCACGAGGATATTATCAACTCGAAGGTTAATAACAACACACCGAACAACCCGTTTCGCGAAACTCGGAAAGACTCATTCTCAGGAGGACAACAGAATTCGATAATTACGGCGAAAACCAGCGATCTCCAGCAGACAGAGAATTCAGCTTCGAAATTACGTGAAATACAAATATTCCTAATTCGAAGAATGGCCAGGCGAGAGAAAGTTTCCTCAACGGACCTCATGTTAATCGATTATGGGATGGAAAAAATTAGAGAGCTATTAGATCTGATAAAACAGGAATTCAATCGAAACAAACGAGATGGCTCGAATCATTAGTAAATAAACAAAATTCAAAGGAAAAATACTTGATCAAATGTCAAGAAAAGGCGAAAAAAATAGAAAAAAAAACTAGGGTTAGGGTTGGGTTAGGGTGAGGGTTAGGGGTTAGGGTTAGGGTTAGGGGTAAGGGTTAGGGTTAGGGTTAGGGTTAGGGGTTAGGGTTAGGGTTAGGGTTAGGGGTTAGGGTTAGGGTTAGGGTTAGGGTTAGGGGTAAGGGTTAGGGTTAGGGTTAGGGTTAGGGGTAAGGGTTAGGGTTAGGGTT